CCCGTCCCAGCTACCGGCCTCCCCGACCGGCGCGCCCTCCTCGGTTCCCTGCGGCACCGCGTGCGGACCTCCTTGCCCGAATTTCGCTGGGCCCGCTGGGAGCGTCACGCGATATATATGCCAAAATGCCCCTGAAAGATGTGGGCGGAGCTGAATGCCCTTTTAGGCCGAAATCTTTGTGTTGTGCCCCTGTCAGGCAGGTGTGCAACTTTGCAATCTGGACCTCCCCGTTCGGGCCTTGGCCTTTTGCAATAGTGCCTAGGAAAAGTTGGCAAGTACTGGGGCATTTCGCAAAGTTGGACGGTACCCGGCAGGGGTATATTGCAAAGATGGGTGTCCAACCAACGCCAGGGGTATTTCACAAAGTATGCTTTTTGTCAGAGGGGCGTTCCGCTCTCTACCCACATCCTTTAGTGGGATTTTGGCATATATCTCAACTTCTGGGGGTATTTTGCAAATTATGATAATTATCCATTGTTATTTTATTTTTCAAACACCGCCTGCGTCAACAGATAGGAGTGATGATAAGAGCATGCACTCCTACCAGTCTTGTCTATGCAAAGTCCTAGCAAGCTTGGGGGGAAGAACTTTAAATCGCAAGTACACGGCCCCAGGCAACTTGAGAAAATGAATGGCTCACTCCTAGAATTTCAGAGGCTTGGGGCTAATGGATTGGTGGTGCCAGCTGAGAAAGAAGGAAGTGTGCCGCTTGCGGTTCACGCAGTGCATGTCCGCCAGGCTCGCGTGTACTAGTGGTTTAAGGTAAATCACAAAATCTATGGGTGGTCGAAGGAGTGTTTGTATCTCGCCCATGTCATAGATGGAGATGGCGTGCTACCAGACACTAGCATAATTGCAGCTATTGGAGACTGGCCGACACCTGAGAACCTCACCGAGTTACGCCCTTCCTAGGAGTGGCTAATTACTATAGGAAGTTTGTTAGGAACTTCACCATCATAGCCGCACCCTTTCATAGACTGTTAAGTAAAGAAGCTATTTGGTTATGGGACAAGGACTTCACTTCATCATTCAAGAAGGTGTTGATCAAATACCCATTTCTGAAGATCACAGATCTATCCTTGCCATTTGTTGTGACCATGGAAACTAGCTAGTATGGGATAGGGGCTGTACTACAGCAGGACGACGACAAGGACTATAGACTGGTAGAGTACATGTGCAAGAGACTACCATAGAAAAGGTCGGTAGGAGTAGCGAGTCCCTAGGAGTCAGTAGGTGGGGTGTCACCACGTGTCGAGTGCCAGTGCATTTGCAGCTCAGTCCCAGGAAAGGCCCACGGGAGTGTGAACCTTTGTTGGACACATAGGGTCGCAGGAAGGGTCCTGATTCATGCGGGAGGCACAGGCAGCTGCACAAAAGGGAGGCCGTGCCATGAACCTCCTCTTCTTAGATTCTGGCTAATGCAGAGGCACTGCTCGGTTACGGTGCATCAAGATCTTGGAAGCGTGAACAGTGTCTCATCAGGAAGTATTCAGCTGCGCTGTGCGCCATAGCTACGGTAGAGCGCCATGGTAGAGAGAGAGAGTGTCGCATACCGTATCGGTGCAGACCAGAACAAGAACCGACCTCTCTCACAAAGTACAAGATAGCATAGCGGAAGACTTAGATACCAATGATCCGAACAATCAATGTTGCAATGCAGCCCCAAACATACATCATCATCATTCCATGGTGTGAAGTCAGGAA